TGGAAGTATGATGACAAGCACGACTTCTTCAAGCAGCAGCCGGACGACAAGTCGTACGAGCTGGCGCAGAAATGCAGGGTCATAGGCTATGCGAGGGTGGCGCAGGACCTTAGCCAGTTCAAGATGTGCATCAAGAATGGCTACCCCTTCGTGTTCGGCTTTGCAGTTCTGTCGAGCTTCCAGACCATGGAGGTTGCCAGGACCGGCAAGATGGTGATGCCCCAGCCGACTGACCAGCAGCTGGGTGGCCATGCCGTGTGCGCCGTGGGCTATGACGACTTCCAGCAGTGCTTCATCATTCGCAATTCTTGGGGCGAGGGGTTCCCTGGCGTAATGATGGTCATCCTCGATTTTGTGTGTGATGGCTGTGCCCTTGTATGCCTAGGTCTTGTGTGATGTTTTGCGTTGACATGCCAGGTGGGGTGACAAGGGTTACTTCTACATGCCCTACGAGTACATTTGCCACCCTGCTCTTGCGCATGACTTCTGGGCCATCAATTGGGTGGAGGGCTTCAAGAACACCACCACCAAGCCCCCCGCAAAGAAGTGAGGTCTTGTCAGTTTTGTGTGTAGTCGTCTTGTGGTTGCTGTCCAGCTATCCCCTGAGGGGTGCCTGGCCAACCGCACTTTTGCATCATACAGGAAGTCAGATGCATAAAATGCATCCGTGTGTATGCTATGTATAGCCACAAGGATCTCCAGCTGACAATGTCAGTGGGTGACAGAGATCAGGCCTACCCCGCGCCGTGCTCAAGATACTGCATGTGTCATAGCTGTAGCCCCAATTACCCGCAGTTGTACGGGTCATACAGTTATACCTACTTAATAGAGCGTGAGTACTACTGTTGCAACGGATTCTTGACATTTTAGGTAGGGCTTGAGGCAGCTGTCGTACCCCACAACCTTATAAGGCCAGCACAAGAAACCGGAGCGCCGCTGTTGCATATACTCGCCATGCTCCACGACCTAGGTGTAGAAGCGCATAAAACCGCGGACGTCATGCGAGGTCTTAAACCCTGAGCCCCAAACAATAAACACAAGGCAGTGTGCATTCTAGCTGACCATAACAGCAGCTGGAAAAAGGCCCGCCAAAAAAAAAAAAAAAAAAAATAAACCCTAGCAAAGGGGGAGGGAGGCACTGTATGATGCTCGAGCATCTTCCGTGGCTCTTGGGTCAGGGGTTAGGGCTTATGTTAATGCTTCGCAGAGGCCTGTAGCTTTGGGGGTTCCGCGGAAGATTGAAAAGTGTCTAGGGTTATATTGGGGTTCTACTGGGGTAATATTAGGGTTATGTTAGGGTTATATTGGGGTTATATTGTCGTAATATCAAGGTCATGTTGGGGTAATATTAGGGTTATATCAGGGTTATGTCTAAAGTGTTTTGTGTTTGTTTTGTTACTTTGATCGCTTGCACCCTTCGAAGTACCGAGAAGTTTCTTATGATGACTTGCTTGGTGGAGCCTGACACCACGAGCGAAGTGCATCTTTAGGGGTTTAGGGTTCAGGGCATCTTGGCGATCCAACCATTTCGGCTCAGGCCAATAAGCCTGTAAGTCACAAAAACTCGTGCATTTTCACGCCTTTGCGCTGATACCTCTTTTGGCCAACCATGGGCAACTGTAGTTCCAGCGCAGTGAACGCCGAGAGCACCGAGATCCGGGTCGAGTCCCTGCACCCAAGTGCGAAGTCGCTCCCCCTGCGAACCAACATGAAGTTCCTAGGTACGTCAGTAGTACCCTTTTTCCCTTTCAAGTAGGGTTTAGGGTAGGGTTCTAGGTACCCCAGTAGTATCCTCTTTCCCCTTTTCTATTAGGGTTTAGGTTTTAGGGTTCTAGGTACACCAGTAGTATCCATTCCCCCTTTTTTAAGGGGGGGAGTCTCCTTCTTAAAGCTGAACCTTCGGCAAAAGGGTGCCTTTTTGGATCAATGTTAGGAATCATGTATACTTTTTGGTGTATGGGATTTCTCACATTTGTGTAAGCAGGATCCTTTTTCTTCCTAGCCATAGTCTGAACTCCGACTATCCAAATATAAACCCCTATAATAGTCCAATATGTAATCCCCTATATACCCCGTTTAAGGAGCTTAGACTATAGCTCATATGAGCAAAAGTCTAAACTCCTAAAAGGGGGTTATATGGGGGATTATATATGGGACTACTATAGGGGTTATTATGGGGGATACCAGGAGTTTAGACTATAGCTCATATGGGCAAAGTAGTCTTAAGGGGTTAGTAAGCAGCCCAGGTTCGGATGGCGGCCGGACATGCCAGATCATCGTGACCATCGAGTAACTTACTGCTTCTTCGTAGGGGAACACGGTACTATCAACCTTATATATAATCTATGTGTGTGTATATATATAAGTTATATAGGGTTGATATCATCCCTATATAACCCCCATATTATATATCCCTATACAATCCCTATATGATATTGAATATTCCTATGTTCCCGATTGACAGCCAGAAAGGTAACCTTCGACAAGGTGGACGCTCCCAGCCACATCAAGAAGCGATCTGAAGGTCACCCACCTTGCTTGTGACAGGGTTTAGTTTAGGGTTTAGGTGTGCCTGAACCCCAAAAGTATGTAAAATAACGTCCTAAACCCTAAACCCTAAAACAGCTATTTTAGGCATTTTGCGCAACATGTTTGCCAACTTTGGGGCCAGTTTGTCATAGATCCAGGTGCAGGCGGGCTTAAAGTAAGTAGGTGATGGGTTTAGGGTTTAGGGGTTCAGGTTTTAGGGTTAGTAGGTGGATATTGGGGCTAGTTGGGGTTCAGGGTTTTAGGGTTGGGGCTTAGGATATGGCTTCTATAGGGGTGATAAGTATACTGGCTGAGCCCCTGGCCCTCCAAGTGTTTACGCACCCTCCCACGTCTAGAGTCTAGACACCCAGATGGAGGATGTATCCTAGACCCGCCCAAGTACCCTTTGAAGCGTCCAAACAGGACGTACATAGATCCTATTTCAGGGTAGTCAAAAGTCCTGCATGATACGAGGCTTGATGGGGTGACATGCTTGTGGCTGAAGGTTTGCAGAAAACAACTTTGCCCAGAGTTTTTGCGGGAAACAATTCAGACCAGACTTGGACAAGACCATGCATGTGTGAGCACCGCACCCACCAAAGGATTTTAGAGGTCTTGGGCCATTATGTTGCTTACTTCTGGGGTTTATGTGATTGTAAAACTATCAGGAGAGAAGGAGATCATCGACCTT